GTCATTTCGCCCCAACCAAAAGTCACTTCGCTCCATACAGAAGTTACTTCGCTCCATGATATAATTAAAGTGTATATATGCTTACAAGATTATCTCTATTTGCCTAGCTGATGTTATAGTCGTCCCATTTATAAATACGATCTTGATGACATGTTTGTAATTGTTAGTATCACTCAGGCAGGTACAAAAGTCGGACCAGATCAACTCAGACTGCCACTCCGTCTCGCATCATCTCAGATCAACTCGGATCGACTCGGATCATCTCAGATCATGAAAAAAAACACAAAATTAAATGAAATTTTAATTTTTATCCATTTGAAGGTTAAAATTGCAGTCAAAAATGAGCCAAATTAAGAAAGACTTGCGACGTTTCTCTGTGTCGTGCTGTGTAGTCAAGCCACCATTTTGTAGTTTCAGTCATAACCCATTTTTGTTACGCTGCATGATTTCGCAGAAATTCACTTTACTTCCGTTTGGTCAAAAAGAGTAACCTCACAGCAAAAGAAATAACTTCATGGCAAAAAGAATAACCTCAAGGGAAAAGTTAAAGACTCACAGCAAAAGAAATGACCTCACGGTGAAAAGAATAACCTCACAGCAAAAAGAAATAACCTCACGGTGAAAAGAGCAACCTCTCGCCAAAAGAAATAACTTCATGGCAAAAGTAAAAGACTCACGGCAAATAGATAAACCTCCTGACAAAAGAAAAAGGACAAAGAGACTCACGGTGCCGTGGGGTTATTTCTTTTGCCGTGAGTCTTTTGCTTTTGCCGTGAGGTTATTCTTTTTGCCAATAATAAGACATGAACTGTTCAGATAGCCAAGTTCCCCGAAATAAGTCACTTTTTTAAGCATCATGACAGCTCTCTAGGCCGTCATGTAAAAGCCGCGTCACGCAAAAGCTTAGAAATTCAAACGTATTGTATCACAAAACCAAGAACGCATTCAGAGCGAAAATTTGTATGATTATTAGTTTTCAGCTGCTCTTATACATCATATAAGTAAAACCTCAGGAAGATCAACAGTTTTGTGGTTTGCATTGTGGTGACGTCATGTGATTACATGTGGTAAAAGTGAGACAACATTTACTGAATGTCGTTTCTCTCGAGTAAGCAAAACTATGAGGCCAATAACGATAAGAATTAACAAGAACAGTTCAAGTTCCTGTGCATTAACGAGGTTTTGAGGAATTACAACAGATAAGAATTCGTGTTGAGGAAAGTAATCAAACGAAGTGATATTTAGTGTATTTTGAGGGATTACCACGTATAAGAATTCGTGATGAGGATTGTAATCGATCGAAATGATATTTAGTGTTACCAAGCCTATTTAAGCAATCGCAACTGGAAGCTGCAGTAGTTAATTGTCTGAACTGACATAAGTCTTAAGTTCAAATCAGTCCAACTCCAACATCAAAATGAAAAGTTCACGACAAATTTCACTAATTTCTTACATGGAGCGAAGTAACTTCTGTATGGGGTGAAGTGACTTCGATTATGGGGCAAAATGACTTTTGGTTGGGGCGAAGTGACTGGGGGCGAAATGACCATGGNGAATGCGTGTTGAGGAAAGTAATCAAACGAAGTGATATTTAGTGTATTTTGAGGGATTACCACGTATAAGAATTCGTGATGAGGAAAGTAATCGAACGAAATGATATTTAGTGTTACCAATCGTATTTAAGCGAACGCAACTGGAAGCTGCAGTAGTTAATTGTCTGAACTGACATAAGTCTTAAGTTCAAAATCAGTCCAACTCCAAGATCAAAACGAAAAGTTCACGACAAATTTCACTAATCTCTTACATGGAGTGAAGTAACTTCTGTATGGGGCGAAGTGACTTTTGTATGGGGCAAAGTGACTTCGATTATGGGGCAAAATGACTTTTGGTTGGGGCGAAGTGACTGGGGGCGAAATGACCATGGGGCTAAATGACCGTAAACCAATGTGAAATTGAGAACTCAGTAATGGCAACAGGGGATGACATGCATACTACACATTTATCTTTCAAAGAATATCACGTTGTGCAACAAATCCTTTCTGTTTTCCACGGATTTTTTGTCTTAAGTTCAAGAAGTGATTGCAGTAATAATACTTACAAGTATAATTTTTTTTACGAGAACTGTGAAGGAATGGAACGCTCTGCTTTCCTCTTTGTTAGATCAGCCTTCTGTGGAGTCTTTTAAATCTGTTGTAAAGGACTATCTCACCTCTTGTGATTGATTTTGTGTGCTGTTATGTATGATAGTGAGTAGCGTAGCAGTGTGCCCTTGCTAACAAAATGAAGGCCGCTTCTTGGCGTTTCTGAAGTGTCTGTGAAGAAGATTTAGATTAAGTTCTGAACGACTAGTAGATTTATACTACATGTAAAACAATTAGATTATTTGCTCTCGATTTCTATCGCGCGATAGAAATCTTGAGCTCATAATCTAATTATTTAATAGAAACACAAGTGGAAGTTTGGAAGAACAAGAAATGCTGTAGGAACACAAGCTGCAGGCACGTGTTTCCACAGCTTTTTCGAGTTCTCCCAAACTTTCACGAGTGTTTATTAAACAATTAGATTATGAGCTCGAGATTTCTATTGGATGATAGTTGATGAGGGTGCATACCAGGCATGGAAACCAAGAGCGAATAATCTAATTGGTTTAGTATAAATCTACTAGTTGGTCAAAACTTATCTAAATCCTCTTCTCAAACACTTTGAAAACACCAAGAAGCGGCTGTCATTTTGTTAGGTAGTGCACTCTGCTACGTTAATTTCTATCACAGAATAGATAGCAGCCAATCAGCGAACGGAATTCGTGATAGAACACGAGTAGATTTATACTAAAACTCGATCAAAACCTGTAGAACATGTTTTCTATTAATTTTTAGAAAACACCGCATCGAAAAAAGGAAAACAAATTGTAAACTTTGACTATCAAAGTGTAAATTTATTCTCTTTGCTTGTGCCGTCATTACCTCAACAGCTTGTCCTTGTTGTGTGTTTCTATCGAGTTATAGAAACACAATTTTTAACCAATCACCACGTGTATTTTCTTAGGACTGTTTCTAAAAATAAATACTGTACCCAACAAAATTTAAATGTTGAGGGTTTACCTATAATCTTTAGATAAGGAAAGTAGTCAGTTTGTCACCCTTTAGCAGTGATCACAGCTATTCTCCTTGTTCACTGATCATGAAGTGCTCTACATGTAAGCTTATGTACTGCGTGAATCAATTCTGTTGTGTAATTCTGTTGTGTAAACATTATTTTCTCATCTGCTGCCAGCCAAAATTTCACCCATGCTCCGTCTATCTATCCAGTAGGTTTGAGCACTGGTAAAATTTTGGCTCAGGTGAGAAAAAAGTGTTTACACAACAGAATTTACCAGTGCCATTTTTTAGCATGCCTACCATGCAAAAAAACTTTTGTCATGCTTTACAGCTGTAGTTCAATTCAAGGCTCTCTTCTCTCCACCTTTTTAGCAATAATTATTATTGTGGTGCACTGCACATAATGGCAAGTCTTCACCGGACAACCTTATCATGCTATCTCAGTGAAACAGGCTATTCGTATTCTAAATATTGGACAGTCTAAAATTAGCTTGGAACTGAAGCTAATGTGGAGAGTCTTTTCAAATGCAGACTACATCCATATCTTTTTAATGATATTCTCCTGCCCAAGCCTCCATTGCAAGCTAGTTCCAATCCAATACTGAGAATACAAATATAGCGTGTTGTATATATTACATGTATATGTCTGTTGCTTTAATCGCTATTTTTTTTCTCTTTATAGTCACACACAATCCTATTAATTCAGCCAACTGCGAAGCCTGAATCAAGAACTTACTCAGATTATGAAACAAAGGACGAATGTATGGAAGGTAGACAATGCCCTCGACTATCAAGTTTTCTCATTGTTATTTGATTCCAATCAGTCAGTTAAATTATTTTGTCCATGTGGTGACTGTTTTAGCACAACTTTTACAGTAACACTGAAGTATGCAAGTGAATGCATTAATCATTGTTACTCTATTTTACTGTGGGATAATGACCAAACATGAATTGACATACAGAATAAAGTTTTTTTTACCATTTTAACTAAAAAGGTGCTATATTCTTTGGACTTTTCAGGTGTCTGCAAAATATTTGAAGAATACCTTAAGAAGTCCAACCCAAGCACGCCATCCATAACATACGACATTAGTCAACTGTTTGACTACATTGATAACTTGACTGATCTGTCTTGCATGGTGTACCATTCTTAAACCAAGTCCTCTCTGTTTGTTTAGACTATCAATGTGTGTGTGAGTTGTCTCATGTTCGTGGGCAGGATACTACTCTTCAGGCAATCCTTTTGTAACTGATACTGGCAAATTGTGTGGGTAACCAGACAAAAATGCTGGCACATGGAAAAAAACCTTAAGTGTATTGTAACCAGGGACCAGGCATGTCAACAAGTTAAAAAGCATGCTATATTGAGCTGTCAGCTTGTTACAGAGATGTAGCTAAAGGGTCGTCAATCAGCTTTTCACCAGTTGAGAGAGAAACAGAGAGTAATTTCACTACAAAACCAAGACTTGGTGTAATTTTGAAAGTGTACGGGCCAGAAAAGCCAGCTGAGCCTGTTAATCAAAGTGTGTAGTTTTTTCATAGCAGCGTCCTTGTTGTTTATCTAGTCTCATAGGCGTGCAGTGGTTAAGACTTTACACTGCAGACCTGGAATGCCAGTCCAGTTCTGGTGACACAGTATGTTATTGATCATGTTTTTATTAAGTTTTATTATCTTCAAAATAGATTTTGATGACTGTGTGTTTTGGGTTTGTTTGTTTGTTTGTTTGTTTGTTTGTTTGTTTGTTTGTTTGTTCAACAGGCAATGCCAAAAGGAGCCATATTACGAGCCACACAGCAAAGACTGGATAAAGGAGAACATCTACATTATGTTGAGAAAGCAAGCTGGGAAATAGTACAGCAGATGAGCAGATATATGTACAGTGCACAAGTTGTTGCCTTCACGACAGCAAGCAGAACCCCGCAAAAACTGATTACATGTAGTTCTTGAAGACAGAGTTCTTTAAGTTGACTCATTTTCAAAACATCTCACATTCAAAGATTTTTCTCCCAAGAACATTTCTCACAACATATCCAGCTTGAATAGTTTACACAATAATTTTTTTCAATTATTGTTTCCATTTTGTTATTCACCTTTTCCCAGCTCATCCTGTAATATTAAAGGTCATTGTGATTAAAATGGGTCAAGTTTTCAAGTTGGCATGGTTGTTTCACTTGAATTTCATAAATTTTAATTTCATTTTGTTTACATGTGCTTTTGGAGCAGTTTTCATCTGAGTGTTGTAAAACCAAAACCAAAGTAATCACTAGAACAAAGAAAATCCAGTGAACCAATTAAAACTCAAAGTAATTACATGTAGCTGATGCAAAGCACGGGAAAACATGTATGAACGAGTGGTGTTGGGTTTGGTATCGCTTCTCATAGGATAACAAAAGTGGTGGAAGTTTTTTAAGTAACATAGTTGATGCAAAACTACTTACTTTTTGACACTCAAATGAAAACTGCTCTATCCCACCATTGCCCAAAACATGGAGTAAAACTCTTTAGGGTTTTAGTTTAATATTGTTTTACCCAATTATTCATTCATTTTTAACTCACAAAATAGCATTTTTCAAGTGGTAGGTTTTACAGGAAAATTTTGCTCCTTCAGTTTCACTCTTGGGCTTTGCTGCACACTGAAGTTGAAGTTGAAGGGATTTGTTTCAGTGGCGAGGATCTATTTAGACGTTCAACTGTGGCATTATTTTTTGCATAGCTCATCTGACTGCACCAAAAAAAAAAGAGAAAAAATCTAGATAACAGGATTTTTGTGCAAGCGTTAAACATTTCCTTGTCGTTATTTACAGGAATAGAGCGTCCCCCAGGTGTTTGCTTAGAACAAATTTGGCTGTATCACACATTTTCAGGGTCAAAATTCCACATTTTCTTACTTGCGAAGTTAAATGTCACTCATTTCCTGCCTTTGAAGCCAGACATTTCTTTTGACCTTCAAATGGTACATTCTGCTTTTCCTGACTTCTCAAAATAATTATGACATCTGCCATGTTTTGACTTTAAAGCAAACCATTCTCCATTTATGTTGGGGGAAAGTATCACAGCAACACATGTAAGGAACAGTGCATGGTAAGGTAAAGGCAACATTTTCTCCATACTAGCACAGTTTGGTGTCGAGTACATATTAAAGCTTTGATGTTTTTCAACAAGCCTTCAGACTTTTGGTAAACAATAAACGGATATCACAAGAGTATCAAACTTGATGGGTAGTATCCATGATTGTGCCAGTGGTTTAGCTTCCCTGCTAAAGATCACCATTTCTGAAGAAAAGGAACTAGCAATGAAAGTGGCAAATCATAGCAAAAGCAGTGAGACAAGTGGAAGGTTTTAGCTATTCAAAATTTGTTTACTTTAACTCGCATTTAATTGCTACATGACAATATTTTTGGTCACAAGAGATCACAAATAGTATCCAACGCTTGTTAGACAATATTTACACAAACAAACAAAAAATGTTCGTATAAATAGTGTCCAAGAGAGATGGATTAACTGAGTACAAGTCCAGGAAAATATTAATATACATGTAAGCTATTTACAACTTCTGTATACCTTGCATAATTAATTCAAATCTCATCATTAATTTACATACAAATATTTGGTTCGTACATCTTTGTAGATTAAATTTCTTGCCTCGGGGTGAATCATAGAACAGGCTGATGACTTCCTTTTGACCTGTACTTTTGAGTAGTATTTGTGAATAAGTTCCTTCATTCAGAACTACTAAAACGGTTCAAGCTGTATGGAACCTTTCTGGTTTCATGTTGTTCCAGAAAATATCCCCTCACCCCCTAACAAAGGGCCTTTTTGGTTAAACCCCCATCCACCTGATCCTCCTGAAATTCCAATTAAGCTCCACACATTTCTTTAAACATTTTGACTTTAGAAACTACCATTCCCTTGGAATTTCATTTAACTCTATGCATAGCTGAACAAAACAAAGTGATGGACTTGTTGTAACTAGATTGTCACTTACAGTACATGCAGTAAATAAATACTTTTAAGTTCTGTTTCCTCTTGTTTGCCTGTCACCAAGTCTCGCGTTCTCTTGCACTCTCTAATCTGATCTAATTTGAACTTGATCAACTTTTCAATTATTGACCTGTCAGGTTTTTCCCCTCTTGAAAGGTGGATGATATTCTTATGTAAACCTGTATGACCAGCTAATAATGACAGTGTGGACAGAATTTAAACAGAGGGATTCTCCAGCTCTTATTTCAAAACTCTGGTCAGCTTTGACACTCACTGACTTTCATCTGGCCTTAAAACTGGAACTGCAAATGTACATTTGCACCTTCCAAAAATGATGAGCACAGGGTTATCAAAGTAGCCAGCCAGCTGCTTATGAAAATCACTAATGTATCTGCTTCATAATTTCAACTGACTACACTAAGTCTGTCTCATATCCTTGGTTTTTGAGGTCCTGGGGCATAGAGCAGTCGAAATGCCTCGGGTCTCCGTCGTGATTTTCGGCCCCTCCATACAATCACAAAAACAATAACCAACACAGCTGTTAAGGACACAGCCAGGGCCACAGCAGCAACGGGAGGAAAGTCGCCAGATGATGAACCATTCTCATCATCATCATCATCAGTGAAATCACTCATCACGAGTTTGCTGTTTGTTTTGGTGAAAAGATATGGCTTATCCTGAATAAGTAAACAAAAAAATGTGGAATTTGATTAATGTTAATGAGGTCATTGTTTAAAATACCTTCACTGTTTTAAACTTTGCAGTCTCTGAACTAATGCAGACAGTTTTCAAATTGCTCGTCATGTCTGAATATGTACAAGCCAATGAAGTCAGCATCATCCACAGGTTGGAAAATGTATACATTACTCATTACCTTTTGATGTTTACTTGGTCATTTGGGGCTGGTAATGATTAATATATCATTGAATAGGAGTGTACACAGACGTACATGATGATTGCATGCATTGTACCTTTGAAGGGCATTTGAGTGTCTCCTGATCTCCCCACTGCTTTGTCTTAGAACCAAGTGGCTCCAACTGAAAATGAGCATTTGAGATAAAAACATAACTAGGCTAGAACTGGTACATGATTCATATACTCTTGCAACAGGTTCCCCTGATGTTCTAATGAGTTTAAACAAGTCAGGTTGGCAAATGGTAAAATCCAAGACCCTTGATAAGATTGGAAAACTGAGACTAAACAGAAAGAAACACACATATGCCTCACTAAGAATGCCAAGACTTAGAAATCAGATCAAGGGGTTCCAGACCCGAGATTCTCTAGGTACTACTGGCAACCCTTACAAGTTCAATTTAATGCTCAAGTTAACCACAGTACACAGTAGATATCTTAATTAATGGTTCCATAAGTACTTATTGTAGTAGTTGGTCGCACCAAGTGGAGTGCAATTCAGGGCATAATCAGGCAAGTAATTTCAAAATCAGTGCACAGCACAAGGCTGATTTGAAATTACCAGCAGAAATTCTCCTCGAATTGTAAGACTTGCAGTTCAATTACTATTTTAATTGTATCAATAACAAATTTCGAGATTAAAAATAAGTCTTTTTGACAACCTCTGAATGAAAAAGTCGGAAGTGTTTTCCACACATTGTAATTAGCGAGAAAATCTCAGATAGTGCAGAGTGTACGGATAATTTACATCTCTGATGCAGTAGTCACACAGGTCCTCACCCCTGCTGTTCTCTCCCTTGGTAGTCACCTAGGCCTTTTCCCCTTTGCAGAATATGAGC